CCCCCCCCCCCCCCCCCCCCCCAGGGATGAGGGCTTGTTACAACTACCTACAGAATAGTGCAGCAACAGATTTTCAGAAGAAATAAGATTGATATAGTTTGGACTTTAAACTAGAAAATGGTTGCATAACAGCCCTGTTGAACTGCTTGAAACAAAACACATGGGGAAATGTTACTTATGAAAACACTGCTTTTTCATCCCTTTTCTAGGTCATGGAAGAGAAGGAGCTGCCTTATGTGTTGACAGACACTATAGGAGGGCCACATGGAGTATATTTGGAGCACATGGAGTTCTGAAGAAATATTTTAACCTTGTTGCCATGAAGGAATTTCTTGAAAACCAAAAATGTCTTGGTGAAAAAATCAAAGCTATTTATATATGGTGGCAAAAGCCAGCTGTTAACCAGGAGCTGCTCCAGAGCCTTCCTAACTTAAAGATCATAGCAAACTTTGGAGCAGGAGTGGATCACTTGGACTTGAAACTGATCTGTAGCTTTGGAGTGAAAGTGACCAACACTCCGTTTGCTGTGTCTAATGCCACTGCAGACCTGGGCATGGCTTTAATGCTAGCATCTTCCAGGAGATTGGTAGAAGGTAACAATTTATATTGTTTGGTATTTTTTTTAAATATAAAATGACTTCTTAGAAGTTGTTATATAAAATATATGTTAATGCAAAATTAAGGGTAAAATGTGTGTGCACAAAAAGTAAGGTATGGAGAAAAATGAAGGTAAATATCTCACAGGCCCCTGGCGCACGTTCATTTAAAGGTGCCATGGGATCTGCTTCCTGGGTTGTACTAAATTTAGTTAAGGGGTGGGATGAATGGAAATGAAATGACTGGTGAGACTATTCCATTTTTCCTTTGTTTTTTATATACCTTTTTACACTTCTCTTCTGTATGTCTTACATGGTTGTAGTGTAAATATTTACCAATTACCTTTTACGGTGGTCATTTTCCTGTTAGGCTGCCATCTGCATCCTGAAGTCTCAAAATGCTAAACCACATCCTCTTAACTTTTTTACTGAGATAGATTAGATTATAAAAAGGTCACCCTAAACTGTGACCCACTTGCTTTCCTTTTAGTTAGCTGTATTAGTTATGTCAGGGCACAAAATGATATTGCTTATGCTAAGCATTTTGCTAAGGTGGCTTTCAGATCTATACCTGATCCCAACAATCACAACTTCTACCATGCCACACGTGTGGGAAGAGGTACGATTATGGGATCGGGGATCAGATCTGAATCATACCCTTTCTACTTGTCAGTGCAGGGGGAGCTCAGATTCATGATCCTGGTCTGGCAAGCCAGGTGCCCACAGATCTGGGTCCAGGGCTGATGATTAGCAGGGATGATTTCAGACCCCAGTGCAGTCCCGTCCTGGCATCAACAATCAGCTGATTGTCAGCCTGGGCCCCAGACCTGCCACATATTTAACTTAAGGCACCATACAAACCAGCCATAAAAATGATTGTACATAGAATATTGTCATGGCTGATTTGCCATTTTATGACACCTTAAATTGGGTGCGCATATAACACCTTTGCCATTTATGCTGTGATTTAACATGTAAATTGTAGCATAAATGTAATGTGTAGAGGGGGCCATAAGAACTTTACCTACACATGTGATGTATACAATTCCCAAACAAAAATACGCTCCCTTTTCCACCCACCCAAAGGATTAGGATTTATCTCCTAAAGCTTTTCAGGGAGCAATGAACTCTGCCTCTAAGACTGATATCAACTGGTTCCCCAGCAGCTGGTATTCCCTGCTCTGTGTCTCTTCTCTCTGCTGCCTTTTGTATATCTGCAGGAGAGCCTGGTGGCAGCCAAGTATCCTGGAGCCTCCAGGAAATGGAGAATCTTTGGTTCCACTGGGAGTCCTACAGTGGTACTAGTACCTATATTTCATCAACTATGCTATATAGTGTCCACAGCATCTCACAGATGCGGCTTAGCTTCTAATGACCAGCCATACTGAATAGAAGCTACATTGGCTCAGGTATAAGTTGAAGGGTTGACAGTATTTACAGAGCCCAGGAAGGCTGGCAGTTTTGTTTTGAACGTGAAATGGAGGTTAAGTCTAGTGTCTCATTCCATTCCCTTACTTTCTCCCAGTAGGAGTTGGAGATTTATACTGTCATGAGCATGTAATTAAGTCAAGAGCCCTGCCTGTCAATGCAACATCATGTTTTATGGTCAAAAGGTGGTCCTATACTCCCATGGTAGCTTATGACCAAAAGTAGAGTTATATGGAAGCTTGGAACAGTACTACTCCTCACATAATATTTGTTTTTATTTTTTTTAGGATGTCAGATTGCAGTTTCCCCAGACACTGAGCAGTTTGCTGCTGACTGGCTGAGAGAGGATGTCACTGGGGCTACCCTTGGGATCATTGGAATGGGCAGGATTGGCTATAAAGTGGCCAAGCGGGCCAAAGCCTTTGAAATGAAAATTCTGTATCACAACAGGAACCAGAGGTGAAAGTGCACCTGCTTTTCAAGATTACCTGTAGCTCTCATTATCAAATATTTTTCTTGTCCGGAGTGGGATGAGGATTTAGTGACATGATATCAGCAGCATTGTTGTTTAGGCCCTTTTTGATTATTTGTGATTTTAATTCTAAGCAGTGAGAAACAGTTCTGACTTGTTTTATTTTATGTTCAATTTAGGGCCAAAGCAGAAAGGAATAGAAATGTGCATGAACTGCTGTTCTTCCTATAAATCAGAGGTTCACAAACCTTTTCAGAATAGACCACACCTTAATAGAGTGTGAAAAGGGGAGATGGTTCAGTCAGTGCATAGCATGAGACCTGAATAGAAGCAGCTGGTTTGACCCTGAGGCAGCTAAAAATAAAGAAATCAGTAGCACGTGACCTGCTAGTGCTCTGTGGATCAACTGTGGTCTATAGACCACTTATGGAAACTTTCCCTAATATAAATAGCATAAATCCCCTCCTTGCATTGTGCCTGCACCTATATTGCAGACACGGAAAATGAAACTTGTTTGAGATGGGAAGATATTCATGTCAGAGCCAGAAGCTGTGATGACCAGTGTATCTATTTATTACTTCTGCATTGTAGTGTTGGGGCCTCGTGCTTGGCACTATACAGATATTCAGCAAATGACAGTCCTTGCCTTAAAGAACTTAGTGTCTAAAAGATGAGACATAATTGTGGATGCTGGTAAATGACACAGTGAGACACTGGCAACCTTCCGGACATCTCTAGTATCCCCAAAAAGGGTCCCTGGCTGCAGTCTCTTTCATCAGAATTGCCTTTGTTCAATGGTTTGCTTTTGTTTATCTCCTCTTTTCATTTCTTACTTTGTTACTTCCATACACTAAGTTTTATCCTAGCTAGGAAACTTCACAAGGAAGCTGGTATCATAGCTCTTGGAAGAGAACAACTTTTGAGGCTCTTTAGAACAGTGCAGTTTGCTGTGGGTCAGGCACTAACTCCACAGACTGGCAAAAGGCAATCAGGAGTCATAGTAGACATGATATCTTTTATTAGACCAATAAGACTTTTGCAAAAAAATCTCTTTAATTACAAGCTTTCAGGCACAAACACCCTTCATCAGGCACTGGGGAAAAGTTTGTAAAAGTTCCTCTGGGTAGAAATTAAATTTCATATTTCTATTGACTCCTCTGTGAAATCCTTTGAAATATGAACTTTCATATCTACCCAAAAGAACTTTTACAATATTTTCTCCAATGCCATACAATGAGAGGCTGAGAGATATGGGTGTATTCAGCCTGGAAAAGAGAAGACTCAGAGAGAACTTGAGAGAGCCTAAAGGGTGTATATCAGGGACTGGGAAAATGTCTGTTCACCAGGGCTCCCCAGGGGAAGACTAGGACCAATGGTCATAAATTGCTAGCAGACCACTTTAGATTACAGTAGATGTAAGGAAAAACTTCTTTACAACTCAAGTATCTAGGGTCTGGAATAGACTTCTGCCAGAGGTGGTATAATCACCTACTCTGGGTATCTTAAAAAAATGCCTGGATGCTCATCTTGCTGGGGTCATCTGACCCCAGTAGTCTTTTCTGCCCAAGCACAGGGGGGCTGGACCTGATGATATTGAGAGATCCTTTCCAGCCCCTAACATCTATGGTGGTCTTTCTGAGTTTTTTGCAACAGAATTGCTCTATTTGTCTGTAGTTAAAAAAACGAGTGAAAGCTAAGAGCTGGCATTTTCTGAGGGGTCTTGAGTCTAAAAAGGTTGAGAAGCAGTTAGAAAGCCGGGGTTCCCAAACTGTGGTACATGTGCCCCTGGGGGTACGCAAGACATCTCTGGGGAATATGCAGGAGAAATTGTGTAACGGCAGATTTAATTTTCATTAGAATAACTGGCATTTAAGGGGTTACAATATAAACTATATGCTGGTAGGGGTATACATGGGCAGCTGGTAAATCTGGAAGGGGGTACGCAATAAGAAAGTTTGAGAGCCTCTGAGGTAGAGGATACTTATGTGACCCCTTACTGAACAGCAAATAAGTTATTGACCAATTATTCACACTTTGGGAGAGCAAGGGAATAAAGATGTGTTTTGTAATGCAGATTTGAACCAGGGATGTGAATGGTTAAACGTTTCAATGTTTAACTGTATCATATGCTGATAACCAGTACTACCTTACTGGTTATCATTTAGTGCCAGGCTGGGAGTAGTCCAGCAGGAATGGGGGGAAGGGAAGCGGCACAGTGCCCCTAAAGGTGGCAGGGCTGGCAGGGAGGAGGGAGGGAGTAGCGGGTACTTGTACCTCGTATGGTAGGGAAGTGGTAGGAGAGCAGCAAGGGGCCCAATCTTTCTTGTGGAGTCATAATAGCCCTGGCCCTTTCCCTGCTGTCACCCTGAGGCACACATGTACCTGTTACTGGCAATAAGCTGGGCCAGGGCTCTGCAGACCCCAGTGCAGCCACTTGCAGCCCCTGCCCCTGGGTAGCTGATAACATTAGGGGAGTTTAAATTGGTACTTAATTAATTAGTATTTACATCCCTAGTTTGAAACTCCTCCAGTATTTGCTGTTTACCATTGGAATTGAATTTTACTTTCCCTCAGAAAGGAGGAAGAGGAGCAGGCTGTTGGTGCTTGTTTCTGTGACAAAATGGAAGACTTGCTCCAGCAGTCAGATTTTGTGATGCTTGTTGTGAACCTGACACCTCAGATGCACAAACTGATTGGGAAAAGAGAACTAGAGCTGATGAAACCCACTGCTACTTTCATTAACATCTGCAGAGGTAGGGTACAGGATAACTGTTTGCCAAATGCAACTCTCTTTTAAATTTAAGTCTCTGGAAAAAAATCAACCCCTAATGCCAGGTAGAATTTTTCTGTAAAATTTCTGTCTATAGCCCTGATTCAGCAAAGTGCTTAAAACTCATTCATAAATTGAATCATATAGGTACTCCTGTTAGAATACAGTGGAAATTTGCATGCTTAAAATTAAGTACGGCTGTAAGTGCTTTGGGAAATTATGGATAGGATTATTATGGTTAAAGTAATTCATAGATTTAAATGGTCTGTAGAATCATGGCTAATAGCAGCAGTTTTTCTTCCAGGAGTTTGGGGTAATAGGCACAGCAGGAAGGTTAAATTGTTCTATCACCTTTGACCAAACAGTTAAAAAATGACTTCTGAAGCTTACTCTGTTAAAGACAGATTCATCCAATACGCAAAATTTATGTATCATCTATTTAAAAAGCACTTTTCTCATCTAGAACCTTGGAATTTTAGTATAAAACCTTTTATTTGTAATTTTATTGCCAAATTTTAGAATCGGTACTTTTTCTGACAAAGGTGGAAATAGATTGATATATTAAAATGTACATTACAGCATTTTTTATTTAGTAGATTTTGTTCCTGTAATCTAGGGCCAGTGACTGATCAAGATGCACTGGTGGAAGCACTTCAGAATAAAGTTATCAAGGCTGCTGCACTGGATGTGACTTACCCTGAACCTCTGCCAAGGTAGAAAATAGTCAGATCAGTAGTCAAATAGTGGGTGAATACAAAGTTTGAAATAAGTAAGTCTGTGAGTATTCACATGAATGAGAAGCTGCATCATATTTTATTAATATTAATATATTGAGCCCATTTAAATCAACGGGACTGCCTATATACACAGATTTGGCAGGATTAGCAACCTAGACCCCAAGGCAACAGTCCTTTTAAATAAACACAATTTATGTAAACTTCTTCAGGAATGTTGCTGCCTAAAAGCTGTAGGATCAGGATTGGAGTATAGCAGTTAAGTCCACTCTGTATATGCTTTAACCAAGCAATAATTATATATTAAAATGTAACAATAATAATAATGAAAAGAACTAATACAAGCTTGAGTTTCATCTCTAATGTTCCTATTTTTCTTTTTTTCCAGAGATCATCCTTTGTTAAAATTGAAGAACATTATAATTACTCCTCACATTGGAACTGCTACTAAACAGGCACGGTGGCTCATGATGAAGAGTGTGGTTGAAAATATATTTTCTGCTCTTAATGGTCTTCCTATCCCTAATGAAGTATTTCCTTAATATGACTTCTATTTGGCAATAGCTAATGTTTATATTAATAAAAGGAAATACTAATTTGAATCTTACATATATAATTAGATTATGCGTGTTAAACAATAACATGTAGAAGTAAAATATTTGGTTTTAAGTTTATTTTGATTTAACTATAAAAAATTCTTCATGAAAATCATGGAGTACTTCATCCTAAGCTTAACATGAATGAGTAACTTGGCTGCATGCCTGCTGAGTCTAGATTTCAGTGAGCTTTATTGTGATTGCATCCTTCAAGTTGCCCTACAGCATTCTAGCACAACAGACAAATGAAAACAACTTCACCCACAGTAAGGCAATCTGTATTGTAGTGCTTTTCACAGAGAAGGATACATTCTACAGCAATATGTAGCCTGTTGTTTTTAATAAATGGTTAGACTTGGCAATGCTTATAACTTATCCTAAGGGTCAGTACTTGGGATATGTCACCCAAGGAACAATACATAGAAGGAAACATGGCTGAGTACAGTATTAGCGTACACAATACAATCTCTGGTACAGCAGCAGTGGATATGTAGCTTATCAACATAAGGAACATTTTGCCCATTTCATTAAACCACGTGTGGACGCATCAAAAGCTGTACATAAATTGTGTCTACAGGGGGGATTTTTGTGGCATAGGCGTTCAGATTAAGGTTGTGGTGCTAGAAACAAAACTATGCAGGCCAGGCCTGAACTGGCACTCCAGACTTCCTCTGCAGATCACCTTTGCTACAGTTTCATTCTTTTCTTTTTTAGATGGTTCAGTTCCATTGATTAATGCCTGAGGGCATCATAAAGCAAAGGCTTTGCCTGTTTTACATCCCTCCCCATTGATCAGGACTATGGTAGGAAAGGAGCACACCATCAGTGCCTATTCTCCTTTGTCCCCAAGATGCTAATCCTACATCAGGATAAGGGCACATTCTAGCCCCTCCCTTTATTCCCTTGCATATGCATGTAGGGTGTCCCGGGACCTGCGGAAGCCAGGAAAACTTACTGGGAGAGCAGGACGCCGCAAGGGAGGAAGAGCCCGCGCTGCTCGTTAGCCACGTCTATGTACAGCTGCAGCCAGCAGCTGACTGTGACATCAAACACCGGCCGGGAGATTTAAAAATGGCGGCCGCCGCTCCGGAGTCGGCGGAGGACAAGAGGAACAAACAGCGGGCAAAGAGGTCCCTGCCGTTAGCCCAGCTGGACAGGAGCTGCCAAGCCGAAGAGCTGGAGTGTCCAGTGGCCGGGAGAAGAGGCGGGACAGCCGGATCCCCAGCGGAGAGAGCCTGCGGCGCCAGAGCAGGGGAACAACAGGGGATCAAGATCACTCAGGAAGATCCCGAGCTGCATGAAGTAAGTGCCGTGGCAGGGGGCGCGGGAAGTGCCGAAGAGGAGGGTGAGGCCGAAGACGCACCGGGCTGGAGAGAAAGTTCGGGGCAGGATCGCCACCTAGAATAGAAGGCTTCGACTGAGGAATCAAGGGGACAGTGCTGTACACCCATCCAGGAGACATCACTCCTGGGCAACAACATAGGGGCACGGGTGGTAGGTCGGGGAGGTACGCCTTGTAGAGGGATCACTGTGAAGAAGCACGCAGATGAGGGTTCAGGTGACAAATCGGTGGTGGGAAGTATCCCTTGTAATGGGGCTGGGATATCTACGCAGGTGAGGAAGGAGTCTGTAGGCACATAACTGAGTCAGTGCAGGGAAGTGGAGACCACAGGTGGCGTGAGGCCGGGGTGTAGGGGTGGCTGGAGCCCCGTGTGTAACCAACGAAGCCAACCCGGGACACCGAGGGACTGGTGAACTGGCCCCGCCCCACTGGGATAACAGCAAAGTCGTGGCAGGCGAGAAGCAGGGTTGGTGAAGCGGGGAAGACAACCAAACTGCAGTAACACCAATGCCCGGTGCAGAGGGTGGTCACCCAAACGGGGAGCTAAACTACTAGTAGGGATCTACGAAGGCCCGTTGGGGACATAGGGCAAGTGACAGATGCACTTTTTAGGTGTTCTTAAGTATTCTCTAAGTCTAGTTAAATAACGATCTTTCTAGGTGCTACTGAAATTCACCCATGTCTGAGATGAAATTCAGTGCAAATGGTCATTAGTAGTGAGCGTAGCCATGTTGTTGTATCGTTGATGGTCTGTACATCAGTAAGACAGCAATCCCTTCCTTTCCTGGCAGCACCAAGCTCACTGTGTGGTGGGTATTATTTCTATTGTGACAAGTACATAGGTGCCCGCTGTGCTAAGTCAGTGGTTTTCAATCTTTTTAGAATCAAGGCACTCATTGGAAAATATAAGCTCCTAGCTTTTGACTATAGAAAAATAATACAACAATTCTTCTGTACCAAAGAACTCAGAAAGATCACAAGAGGTCAGAATGTTTTTTGATAGTATGGATTCCTCTTCAAAATCTCTGGGCTTATTTTGTGAATTGTGTTTGCACCCCTAACAGCACTAATATCGCATATTAACCTTAAAAGGATCTTGCAGCACCTGGGTTGAGAATCACAGCTTTGTCTGAGACAACTCTGGTTGTCTTCTTCCCAGGAGGAGGCCTCAGTTGTTCTGAGTCATGACTGATACAATATTTCTGGGAAGGGAAAGTAAATATCAAGTCTTCAAGTGTTTCCTGCCCACCTAGAGAACAGTGTTACTGCTGTTTGGAGTCAGCAGCTTAACTTCCCTTTCACATAAAAGTGAGAAATAGGTGGAGAGTAAGTGTAGGGAAACTCAGTTCATATTTGACCTGGATAGGACCACAACAGGTTAGAATGAAATCTCTGGCTGGAACCAGATGTGCAGGCATGCGTGGTCTGTGGTGCTGCAGACCTCTTTGTAGTGCCACAAACTGCACACTGTGTGTGCCCTGTGCTACAAATTTTGCTACTGGGAAATCCCAGTAATAAAAAAAAATGCTGCAAAAAAGTGGTGCGGCACACACAGGAGCGTGTGCTGGCAGACACGGAGGCTCGGTCTTCCTGGGAGATGCTCTAGCTGCTGGCCAGAGTGTCTCCCCTCCTCTAGTTCCACCCTGGCTCCTCCAGCAGGCGGGGGCAGAACTAGAAGAACCAAGGAAATGGCAGTTTCTCCAAAGCAGGGCACTTCATCCTGCACCAAAGCTCATGTGGTGCAGGGGTGTGTGCCATAGGTGCCAAGTACGTGGGGGCCCCCAGGGCCCTGGCTTCCCTTGGGAAGGGGCAGTCCCCAAAATGGGAACATCAAATCCCAGTACTGGGCTTCATGACACCAGGACAGCATTCGTCCTTGATTTCCAGTATTGTGCAAGGATCTGGGTTTTCCGTTCATCATGGAAAAATGCAGGAAATGGTGTGTTTCCTCTTGCAGGCTGGCAGAGTTCCAGCCTGCAAGGGGTGCCACATGCATGTGTGCACATGCACATATGGACATGGCCAAGAATATAGCTCTACTCAGTGTGGAGAGCAGTTCCCCCAGCTGCCTGCAGGTAAAAGTCTAGGAGGGGCAGATTGAGGCTTCCATGGTGAGGGTGGGAGGGAGGAAGGCAGGGGTTGGGTCTGAGGGCGCTGCCCAGCCGGGGTAGTTCATGGGAGCTGGGGTAGGAAGTGGGAAAGACCCATGGCTCATCCAGGGGACCAGGGGGCAGGGAATGGCTACCTGCTGCTCTGCACACTCCTGGGGAGGGCTATGAGGGGGGAGGCACTGGCCCCCCAGATTTTTGCACAGGGCCAATGTGGGTTGCCTGCTGCCCACTGCAGGCTCAGAGCTCCCTGCCCTGCTGCCCTCCCCCTGGAAGCCCCGCACCAGCTGTGCCACTGTGGCATGCAGGGATGCATTCCCTGGGTTTATCCTGTGAATCATGTTTGTACATCTAACAGTGCTAATTTTGTGTGGCACCTTGCTAGCACCCGTGAAGGGATTTCAAGACACCCCAGGGTGCCATGGCCTTCTGCTTGAGAATCACTGTGCTAAGCAACGTACAAACACACAATAAAAAAACTGGGTCTTGCCCCAAAGCCCTTACAATCTAGTTGTCAGAGCTTCAAAGGGGTGTTTCTCCTTTGAGTTGGGTGGACTGGGTCAGAATGGAGGAACAAGTTGAATTCATGTCCAAGGGTCCCTGCTGCTGTCCTGCCCAAGTGAGAGATGGGGGCTGGGGGCTACGATGGCTGTACACGTGCTGACTTTGGCTTGCTCAGGCTAAAAGCAGAGTACTCTACTCATCTGGGTCTGAGATTTGATTCCCATCCAAACAGGTGAGGGACAATTGTAAGAAGATAAAAGACACCATACTGGGTCAGATGAACGATCCACCTAGCCCAAGAGCCTGACAGGGCCAAGAGCAGATGCTACAGGGGGAGAACATAGAACTGGGTCTCTCTAGACCAGCAGTTCTCACCCTGCTTTGTACCAGGGGCAGCGAGGTGTGGGATACGGGGCCCCCCAAGCAGCCCTTTGCAGGCTGGAATGCTGTCAGGCTGCAAGCGAGGGTTTCCCACGTTTTTCGCCTTGAAAGAAGAATTCGTTTTGAAAGTCTCCTTTCCTATGTTCTTGCAACCCACTTTCAGGTGGTGACCCACGGGTTGAGAAACACAGCTCTAGGGTGATCTAGCTATGCTTTCCTTGGCAGCCTTCAGTCTTTATCCTTGAGATCCCCCCCCCCCAAAAAATAAAAATAAAAAAAAGAAATCAGCTGAGGCAAAGAGATAATTCAGCTACTTCACACGAGGAACGCAAAACGCAAACACTCTTGGTTCAGAGGTGAGACCTTTTATTAGGCTCCTGTTTCTTTTATCTCTTTTATGAGCTAGAATACATTTTCTTCGCTGCTTCGTACGCACTTCCTGCGGGACAAGGGGCCTGGGGCGAGCCCAGACCCCCCGATCCAAGCCAAGCCGAGCTCTCTCTCTGGCAGAGCAGAGGAAGCGGCGCGGAGCGGGGGCGGGCCCGTCGTGCCCGCAGGGGGCGCTGCGCCGGCTCTCAGCGGCTGTCGGCGGGCG